TAGTCTGAGAATAGTTTTACCCCTTTACCAAGGGTAAAAGAGTAAAACGGCAAAAGGGTAAAAGCATCGTGGGAATGTAACAGCATTTTCTAGAAATGGGGATGTCATGATGACATAGGATCAGTCAGGCCTGTTCTCCACTGTTTACTCAACAAGTCCCCTCTGACATGATTATTGTACCACAGCTTATCATGTCATCAACATGTGGCCTTGGGGAGATTTCTGATACTGTAGCTTGGGACAGTGACATTGCAGTCACGGATCAAGATCATCATTTTTATTTGAGGCAGCTTATGAAAAAACATCTAAGATCTCAGTAGAACAACAAAAGTCTCACTGGCTCTCAAAACTTAAGCCCTTCTTAGATCATAAAATTTTACAGGTTGTTAAGTTTGAGAATGAGCACTGTCACCTGGGTGTCACCATACAGGGAGGTTAGTGAAAAGTTGAGTTTAAGCAAGTTAATGTCGCTGTATGAATGAGAGTAAGATTCAGTGAAGGCCAACTACTTAGTGTAGACACAGTGGTGCTTTAAGCTAAAGGCTAACCTCAGCATGCTAACATACTTGCACTGACTTGTTTTGATGTTGAGCAGGTGCTGCGCTAACAGTTTCTAATGATCGCAAAACACAAAGTACAGCTGAGGCAGATGGGAAATTCATTATTGCAGGAGTTTAGTCATAAACTGAAATTAAATTGTGACCAGTTGAGGCACTGGTCAGAGGCGTTCATCTTGTAGAGGACATGATTGTGTGTACAAAAGTTCATGGCAATCCATCCACAGATTGTTGTGACATTTCACTCTGAACAAAAAGTGTAACCTAGTGGAGGTGCTAGATGAAAAGTCAGGCGATCTCCAGACTGCCAAGATTCATCCTCTGGGGACCATGACTGTCTGTCTGCCAGTGGTTCCAGACAGTGGACCGAGTAACATCACTATCTTTAGAACCAAATCACTTGCAAAGTTAAACGGAGCAGTATATAAGGTCAGCGTTGGTGCGTCCTCGTCGCCAGATTATTATGTGTTATCTTGTTGGTAACTACGTTTCATGTTCATGTCAAGGCCTCAAGTTTATGGACCATTGTTTGATCTGCGCTCCTTTGCAACATTGTGAACTGTTATTGCGCATTGTTCTGTGGTATCGGTTTTCATGCCCTTCTCACGTTTAAAGGAGTTTTTGGTTTTTGGACTACTTTTTGTGAATTGCTCCTCCTCTCAGAGCTCCAAGGCAATCCTGGGACAGCGCCACCATCCTACGTCGCACCGCTCAGCTACCAGCGCTGCCTCATCAGGGGACCCACACACCGAACCCGAGATCTCTGGCACCAGTCTCCCCCTCCCTGGACTACTCCCTGGGCCTGCTGCGCACTCAGCTGTTCAGGTCCCCAGAGTGATTACCAGAAACAATCTATACCATACCTGCTGCTTGTTCTTAAACTCTCTCTCTGTTCTTATTTAGCGAGCAACGCCTCTCATTCACCCCGGGAGACAGTAGTCCAGTCAACCCAGTGTGCCCAGCTGCCCCAAGATTGGCAGACGAGACCGGCTCTGTTTTGTTTGTTATTTTTGGAGAATTAAATACGTTTTCTTGTTTAACCTGGGTTAGACAACTCAACAACTCAACACACGGCTCGCCGTAACACATACGGATTATAGCTTTAACTTTAGGTATCTATAACCTTGAGAATTAAAGTAAGCTTTTGGTTGAAGGTGAATAAGAAACTCAAATATAAAAAAAAACAAAAAACCTATGATTTTCAGATTTGACACTGGTTCCAACCACATCACTCTACTGTCACAATTTCCCCTTCGTGTCATTTCTTGTGGCAAAACGTATTTATTTCACTTTCAGTGCACACGTTTTGCAAAAAAAAAATCTTTTGAAACAAGAAAAAGATTTGTCTTTTGCTTTTCTCAAAAAATGAGTGTGGACTGTTAAAAGCAGATCATGTCTTCTGTGAAATGTATGAGCAGTTTCATAAAGAATTCCTGTGGTTGTCACATAAGGTTAGTAATGTCTAACCTTATGTGTTAGTCTATGACTAAGACTTCAGTAAATAAGAAGAAGAAATAAAAAAATTGTGATGTGGAAACACATTCTTCTTTTTGGGGAAATTTTCTGAGATGATTAAAATGATTTATATTTATTAATGGGGCTTGACGAATAATACATGCCTCAAATACCACCAAGGATTAGGGGTTAAATTTTCACCAGAAGCAAAGAATGCACTTCAGAATAGCAATTATTTGATGTTTTGTAGAATCTGTGCCCCATAAACACCTCTACAATCAATTACAAACAATCACTGACCAGATTTACATCTAAGTCAGCTCTGTCCATTGGCCTATTATCACTGCTGGAGATTTGGCATGGTAGGAAATGCAGCATAAATCAGTGAGTGTGAAGATCTCCTGCTTCTGATGAACTACTCTCTCCTACTTGTCCAGAGGGTGCTTCACTTACTGGCACGAATGCTAAAGCCTAGGAAATATACGCCTGAGAACAGCCACATGGCTTTTATTAAGAGAAGTTATCAACTTCACCAGCCACTTCACTGGACTGGGGGTTAAAAAAAAAAAAAGAAATGTAATTGCTTTCGTTTCATTTTAATTGTGCTTCATTAGTGAAGGGCTACAGACCACATGGAAATTCTTAAGTGCTGCAAAAGAGAGCTTAATGAGTGCAGATGGAGTTGTTTTGAAGTTGAGCTTAGCTGCTGTTTGCATTGCGTGTTTGGGGCAGGTAGATGTCTGGAGCTCCAGGTGGTACTGTCATCATCTGGAAACCGGACTCCTCAAGGAGGCAACTGAGAATTTTAATAGAATAAAGGACAGGTAGTCAAAAATGGGGTTTTACAGTACATGAAACCCTACCACAAATGCAGAGTGATTGATTCATCTCCTTTCCTCCTTGTCATATAATAGCCCTCTACTCATTACATTCAGCCATAAGCTATCATTATTTCCTAAGCTCTAAACCTTTTCACTTTTTTGTTCTGCAGAAAAGCACAACTTGCATTATGTATCTCAACAGTTCTTGGCAGTAATGTATGCTACACCTCTACAGTTCATATCCACTGGTCAAATAGGTAAATTCTGGACCAAGATCAATGAAAAACCACAGTAGTTGAAGTTGCGCCAACATATTTCTGGTCTTGTTTGTAATGAAAAAAGCAGAAAATCTCATCTGGCACAGTGAAACTTTCATGTGGCTCTGTAAACCAATAGAGAATAGGCAAAATGCCACACACACAGCTGTACATTGAGACATTTACAAAGCAGGCACATACACTCTCCATCACCCACTGTGCTGTTTCTAACTCTTTCATGGACTGATTGTGTGTTTTCATGTTATGGAGACACATTAAATGGGTCCCATACTCTGAAACAAGTTCAGAGAGAAACTATTTTTAGTGTCTAGAGACATTTTGTTAATTCACTAGGCTTCTCTTGACTCATACTCTCAAAACCCAAAGCAGCAGCCCACGTGTACAAGCACTGTAACAACTGAGGGATGCTGTGAGCTGTTTAGCGGCCCCACAGTGCTCGTTCCAAAACCGCACAGGGGCTTCAGTGAAAACAACCCCAAATGAAAACAGATGCACTGGTTTTATATTAATCTCACAAGACGCTCGTACCCATGTCATTACCACATTCTGTTTCAATCACAGGCCCTTCAGGACATGTACGTGCTGACAACTAAATCATAGTTAGAATTTGATTTTAGGCAAAACAGCCATTTTCCTAACAGATGAGTTTTCCCATCAGACTTTGTCGTAGTTAAACAGTCAGAGCAGTGACTACACATGTAGAGAGACCTCGTTCTCTAATGTGATCAAAAGCATGAAAGAACAACAGTCTGTTAAAGAAACTGTTCAACATTTTGGGAACTTCACTTCTTTGCTGAGAGTTTGATGAGAAGATTGATACCACATTCATATCTGTCTGTAAAAATACAGCCAGCAATTAATTGCAGGACTGTTTCCCAGCTGCACATAGTGACTTCTGGAGTCCTGTTGCCAGTTGCCTTATGTTAACT